AAACAATATACATGGAAATGTTTGACGATGCAACAAGATTTCAACTTGCCTATATAAATGGTGAGAGAAATTGAAAAACAGAAAAGTTGCCAAAAAATAGTTTACAGCTGTGAGAAGGCAAAAATATTAAATAAGAGCTGTATGGGTTAACCTGAAGAACAGAAAAGTGGCAAATCATACCACAGAGTGTGCTGTAGAGCCCTGTCAGAGCTAGAAAGAGCAAATATATTGGCAAATTTATGAGAAAAGTGAGTAATAGTAGCAATAATAGGAAAGGACTTCATCTAACTTCATATTAGTGAGTAGAATCAGTGTAATACAATCATTGTAAAAAGACACAGACAAAGGGCACAGAATTTTTAAAATGTATTTAGGAGAACACTTTTTTTGGCCTGTCACAGAAACCATCAAGAAATAAGACAGTTTGGGACTTGCTGGGCAGGTGAAATGGTTATTAGTGTGCAACTGTCTTTGTGGTCGTGATCATTATTAGGACAGTAACAGAAAAGGACAAAGATAGACCAGGACAGAAATTTAAAATTGTCCCTTTCCAATTGAACTGGGGTATAATTTAGCAAAAAAAAGGAGCTGAAAACTGCTGCCTGTTAAGTAAATAGTCAAACAGTGAAAGAAATGTTGAGAGATGATGAGGATTCAGGACAATGTATGCTCACAAAGAAAAATTGGTGATACTCTCAAATCTAGAGTCCTTGGGTGACAAGGAACATGCAACAGGATAAAATAGAAAGGGAAGATTACCTCAAATACAAAGATTTCAATACAACATAAAGCCATGAGAAAATTAGAATTTCACCTCTGCACTTTCTAAAGAAACTTAAGAAAAGAAGCTGAGGGCATGAGAATATTTTAGTAAATAAACTTGTTTTATAAATGCACAAAGGGCAAGAGAATCACTAAAGAGTAGGACCAATTACCGACTAAAAAGATAACCTGCATGTGGAGGTGGAAGAACTTGGAACAGTATCGTCAAAAAGGTATGATTTAATCAAAAGACAGTCAGTGTGATTTCATTAAGGGAAAGTCATATCTGACTGACTTGACTGCGTTATTCCCTCAAAAAAAATCAAAGTTGATGAGGGCTTCATATTTGATGTGGTTTATGTGGAATTTAGCAAAGCTTCTGACATAGACATCTGGTTAGAAAAATGAAAGCACTTGAGATTCAGGAGAAAATGGCAAGTTGGATCTGAAATTGGTTCAGTAACTGAAAACAAAGGGTAATGGTGTTCTCATAAACTGAAAGACAATTTCTAGTGCTGCTCCACAGGGCTCAGCACTTAGTTCTTTGCTATTTGTGATAGCAATGATTTAGACCTAAAAGCAAAAGACATGATTAAGAAGGTTACAGATGAAACAAAAATTGACTGTGCCTGAGATAGTGAATATGTAAGCTGCAGGTTGCAGGATGATCCCATCAGACTGGAAAAGAGGGGAAAAAAGTGGCAAATAGGAATTCAATCAAGAAAAAGGTAATGAATTTGAGGAGAGCAAACAAAACAAAATGGTATGCACAATAAATGGTAAAAAAAAATGTACAGAAACAGAAGAACCTTGGAATGCATCATTAGAGAGGCTTTAGACTGCAGGACATATGGGATACTTTATTAGTCACAACATTGATGGCAAAGACCTTCGATTCACCAGAAAAATTTACTGCAATTGAGCAGTGATTCTAAGACACAGGAACAAATTTGGTGATTGGAAAGGCTGTGTTCTATCACTGGACTGTTTTTCATTCAAGAGTGAATCTGCTTTTAGATAAATTGGAGGGTTGGATGGTATAAAATGGAGGGATAATTATCAACTACAACTGCAAGCCAATACCACATACAACAAAACAAAGAAGACTTGCAAAAACTAATTAGTACAGTCAGAAAGGAAAGTGGTAGGTATAGGCTTACACTCAATTGCAAGAAAACAGACTACAGTAATGACAAAGAATAGGAACATTCCAGTGTGCAACACCATAGTAAACAGAAGCAAGTTAGAACACATCAATCAATTCAATCATTTAGGAAGCACAGAAACAGTGTCAAAAGCAGTAGTGAAATCTGAAAAAGAATTGGACAAGCCAAAGCTGTTTTTACAAAATTAAGCAAAATTCCATGAAACATCAACTTGAATTTGAGAATCTGTGCACTAAAATGTTAGATTTAGGTCTGCAATGAATTATGGATCTGAAACTTGGAGCATTGAGAGAGGAACAGAAAACAAAAATCAACAGCTTTGACAACATTAAAGATAAGCTTCACCAGGACTCCAGGGAGGTCACACTCACCCTGACTATAATTAGAAAAGTTCACGAGACCTTCGCTATTCAACATGTAATGAGGAGGGAGGTTATGATAGAACTACATGGGACATTAGTTAGTCCATAGAGAGAATACTGCTTACTGGTCACTACAATACAGAAAGGCAGTGTCGCACTGGAGTGATAGTGCAGGGGAGATTTAGGAATTTGTTCAGCAGAATAAAAATCTGTAGCCACTGGAATACATCGGTGGTTGTTTTCGTTGGGAGGGGAGACTGAGGGGAGATTTAATTGGGGGATATAAAATAGGGGCCCTGTTTGAGTGAATAAGAAGGACACTCTTTTTTGCAGAGATCAATAACTGGGGATATTGGTAGAAAGAAGAAGAGGAGGAATTTTTTTCCACCTGGAGGGTGATGGGCTGTGAAACACCCTGCCTGAAACAGGATGGTCGAGGCAGAAACCCGCACATGCATATACAAAGTCCTATGAGTTTTCAAAGTTCTTCCCCACTCCTCTGCCTTGATCACATAATATTGTCATTTAACCATGCATAACCTGAAGGCAACATTTGATCTTGATTACTCATGTGCATAATCTAATTTATATCTCATGGCTTTGAACATTCTCTACATGAGCATGTTCTATTGCAAATGTTTTGAAACAATTTTGTTAAGCTATGTTACTTGCCTATTAAATAAGATTACATGAAATGTCACAGAGATTTCTTATAGCACGATGTCAACAATCTTCAATTTTCTTCAGTGTTAAAACATCTCTATTGTAATGCTTCTAATTTTGTTCCTATAAAATTTAAAACAGTTCAATTGTACTTTCTAAATTTTCCAGTTTATACATGTGGTCAAAAGTAATTTATCCTGAGACACTGGATTGAAGGAAACTGGAGAATGAAGCAATAAACAGTACACTGGAAAAAGTCATGTTAATGTAACTTCCCTGGTTTAAAATGCTCTCCATGTAAAATTTTAATATTTATTTTCCTTCTACTGCTCCAGTAAATTAATTGTAGGCACATTGAGACAGAGTTTCTAGTGAAGCAAAGTACAGCATTACAAAAATTCCTCCATTATAATATAGCATACAGCAGTATTCTGCAATGGATATACTCACATTATTTTGCCATAATTTGTCAATGATGACCATCCTGAGGAAGCTTTATAATCCACTGCTCACAAGGTAAATGTGTTAAAAACCCCGCTTTCTCCTCCGCAGATCTTTGCAGAGAATTAAATTTTGAATTTTCTTGTGAGATATAGTGGTCATTGTTTTAAAGCTGCATTGTAAACTGAGCTTAGTGTCTCAAGTCAAGACTCTTCTGAACACTGTTTTAGTTGCGTCAACATCACAGACTAATATCTGTATTTCAGGCACAAATCCAATTTGCAAGCAATAAAGGAAAGCTTTTCACTCAGCAACACCTGTTAGAACTTACAAGGAACAGAGTTCTGGCATTTCTATGAAGCAGCAGAGAGCAGACTGTTCTAAATTCAACAAAGGTAACTTGAAGATCACAAGAGAAAGATGTTTCTGTGCTCGTGTGAACTTAGTTTTTCAGTTTTTCTTCAGAGAGTCAAGAAATGTGTGTGCTGCAGAAGCATATAATGTTGCTGCATAGTTTCAATTGGAAAGCACACTACCTGAACTACCGTTTGTATCAGCACTAAGACAAATATTAAATGATTTGTTTTTCTGCAGTCGGGTGCCATGTTAATCTCAGTTAAGGAATGGCAATGCACGAGTGTTGTTTTTCAAAACTAGAAACTATCATAGTTAAAAATAATAAATTACTTTCAAAATCACAATTAATTTGACATTATGATGTTAATTTTTATTTTTTTTATATAAAAGTTTTATATAAATTGCCTTTATCAAAAGATATATTCAAATCTCACTCTACCTTCTCATTATTTGTTCTGTGCTGCTAATGCCAAGTCAAGTTTAAGCATGAAGACCTCAATTTTAATATGTTCCGTAATAATAAAAACTTTCTTCCAACCTATCACAGCAAATGATCAACATGAACACTTCAAACGATGATTAGCTAACTCAAACCCTAAGACAATTAGTTTGGCCTGCCTCAGAAGAGATATTATAAAAATAAGGAGATGTAATGACTTATCCAGATAGTTGAATAGAACAGAATCTTACAATGTGCTTAGTACTTCAGTTTTAATAAGCCCCTCGTCAGTACCTATAGTTCAATGGTTAAATGCACTGCCTGGCACAGTTCTGGGGCACAATATTGCAGTGCACTGTGTTACTTTACTTCTATTACAGCAGTGGTGATTAGGATAACACAGCAACTTTGGTACATGGGCCAAGAAGCAAAAACAGCCCAATTCCCTGCTCCTCATTATTACTTAAATGATCCCGACTGGGTTGCACAGATTTCAGAAAACAGAATAAGTTAACTATTGAGATAATGCCCTTGTGGCCAATTAGCTTATTAACTGATGTAAGGTTAGCAAAATGTTGGAGAACTTCAGTTGTCAATGCAATCATATGCCACCCTCCTGAGGAAAGGAGAGGGACATTTGTTTTATGGCAGGTTATAATAATGAAAAGACCTGCTTGCTGTGCAAAAGTTAAATCAACCAACCAAGCAACATTCTGGCCAAATTCTGAGTTCATTCATCAATGACATTCACACCATACTATTTAATAAAACAAAAGCCAGCACAAATATATAAATATATAGTTCATTGAGTATAGTGTTTAGAAAAATAAGCTCAGATCATTTCAGAATATAAAACAAAAGGTCATGTAACAGTACAGACAAACCAGATTATACTTTAAATCTAGCATTTAAAATATCTTTGGTATACCAAGGGTGAACACAAAATTCTAATACATGCTCAATGTACCATCACCAAGAAGTTAGTGCAGTATAGATGTTTTGCTACCCATATCCCTCACACAGTATGTATACAGACACATTCAAAAATCAATGTAAAATGTTTATAAAGTTTCATGCCAAATCTAAAAGTACAGTAAAATAGATTTTAATCAAGGCATATAACTTGCACTGGCTAATAAAAGCTTCCCTTTATATTAAAACCCCTTTAGAGCAAGCTATAAAACAATTCTTACTAACATATTGATACAGAGACAGAAAATATATTCTTGTGCAGTCAGATAAGGAGATGGAACAGTGTAATATAACTACTCAACACACCATTTCTAGAAATCAACAAAAAAGATTTTATCCATAAAACATTTAAAATAGAAGTACCGAACATAGAAAATTCACAACACACCACTTACTGTCTTAGACCTTGCACAGATCAAAGCTTAGCAATTCCAAAGAAATTAAATAAAAATGGTAACCAAGATTTTATGAATATCAGGCACATTATTTTCCAGCTGTGTCAGGTTAATATTAGAGCTCACAAACCCAACATTAAAACAGTTGATATTAGCATAATGTCATGTTGAATAACTGTTCAGCTCCCTCCTTAGGGAACAGTTGAAAAAAAAACTGTGGTAGTTTCCACCAGTATTTTGATAAAGCTTTTGATTTTTTTTGCATGATAGAAACTTAATTGTGAGAATCATTAAAGATTTTACTCAAGCCTCCTGTCGACCTAATTCAATTTGGGGAATTTAATGATCATATAAAAGTACTTCTTATCCAAATAATATGAAGGATTGTCTCAGCATACAGTCAGGTTTTCACATACCAGAAAAAGATCATAGTTGGCTACACTTCAATCTCATTTGGAGAAGACCAAGGTGATTTTTTTTTTAAACTGCAGTAGGTTGGACTGGTTTTTGAATGCCTCACAGTGTTTAAATATATTAAAAGCATAAGAGGCACTGAATGCAGGAAGACACATTAAGATAATCAGCAAACTTGCACAAGCAGATGCAAGATGTATACATAAAAGAGTAACCGAATTTTCATTTCACAAAACACAGCATTTGTTTCCACTTTTGGAAGATTCCTGCAAGGCACACAAGCCAAAGAAGGGGAAAAGGATTGTTGGGGGAAGGGGATCTGTTTCAACACTTCAAACATTATGCATTGAAAACTAATAGTAATAGATCAAGGCAAGTTGAATTTTTATAAGAAACATGTTTCTTATGTGCAGTGACATAGACATTTTGTAGCACATTCTAACAGACCTTATACTGTCTTAACACTAATAGGGGTGCACAGTAAATGGCACAAAGAAAAGATACACTGGAGTTCAGTAACATGCATGATAAATTTCTAAATGGAAGTTGTTTACTTCATGAAATCTGATTGAAATTAAGATGCTTCTTTGATGAGAAAGATCAAACTTGTATTACATTCAGGGTCTGTGGTAGGTTTGCAAAGTAATAACATTTCTAACAATTGAAGGGATATCATAAAATTTAAGAACAAATCCCAAGTTCTTCATTATCATCTTATCATCTCAAAATTAAGATGTTACTACCATGGAATATATCCAAAGTATGGTTCTATTTAATATATTTAGTTTTTTTTAACTGTTTGCCATATTTGCTTTGCAGTATAACAATAACGGGCAATGTCAAAGATGCAAAATTACAACTGGAGTGATATAATGCCGTGTAATATCAGCATTTATCTTGCTGATGTAATGACCACCACAGTTTCTTTCAGGAGCATGCTTCAAGCTTGTCACTTATTATGGAATGCAAAAGATATCATAAACCATGAAAGCTCAAACAGATGATAAACACGATCTAAAATGCTTGATTAATCATAACCCAAATGTGCATGTGTATAATGTATTTTAAGTCCCATGCATAGTAGGTACATATATAAAGCGTAACCAGAAAAAGAAACACTTTTAATCATTTCTAATATATATATCTTTTTTTTTAAAAAATCAGCTAATGCTGAAATGGATCCTCTAATAAATTTTGATGATAGTAGGAACTGACTGCAGAAAGTGAACTTTGGTAGCAGCTGAGCATCATAGTCACGGAACAGATTTTCACAGCACTTCAAGATGCTGGAAGCAATACTTTGTTACTTTAAAACGTGATACGGGGTAGAAATTAATCTTGGGCAGTGATGCAGAATGAGTGGCATCAGATTGGCCATCCATTGTACGCAGTGCTTAATGTTTAATTCCACTGACTGCAATGGAATGGAATATCAAAAGCTGTGGATAATAGCTGACTGATCCAAAGCTATCGGTTTAGTTTCACCACCTGAGTCAGATTTCTGCCCATACAGGTATTCATTAAGTTGAACCTCACAGGCCTGGCTTGTCTTGGTGAATACTGAACTTTGTTTCTCTGGTTCTGCTAAAATGCCAAGGCACTCAATCAATGCACGGGAGCTCTCTAGGTTATTGCTGGGAAAGATTAAAGCACTTCATTAAACTAACTAAATCAGTAAGATCAAAAAAAAGTTTCTCTATCTTATAATAATATTGTGGAGTAGTACCAATTTGAGATATTCACTTTCTTCCACATTCCACCTAAGTTAGTATTTTGTGCAGGTAGGAGACAGGAGGGGAATGGCACACTTCCAGCCATATTCACAGTACTTGGACTTCAGGATATTTAAAAGCAAAAAAAAAACTGTACATTCCAATGGTAATTCTAATGATCCTGGACTATACATTCCATCTTGATTGTCAGCTATTGGTCATACAAAACACTGTCCAGAAAGTATGCATTCACAAAGTCGGAAAATCTTTTGATAAATTGTTACATTTGAAAAGTATTATTGTGTGTGTGTTTTTGGGTAGTGTTTATTAAAAGCAATAAAACTAAATTTGTGTCATATGCCTCTGGGCCAATTTGTGACCGGTGTACCCAAAATATCACAATGTAACATTTACATTTGCTATTGGTACATTGATATCAAACCATGCATATAAAGCAATTGATACAGAAGCCCATCAGTACAGACATATAACTTTAAAATGCCAACCAGTCCTTATTTACGTGTTATGACTGACTGTACCAGGAGTGTTAAAAATAAATATCAACTTACGGCTAAGAATTCAAGATTCCAGTAAAAAAAGTGTAACAGATAATGTTTGACTACCTCAGTCATCTCCTAACAGTTCTTTCCTTTAAATTATAAAGTAGATAAAATACGATTATAGAAACACTTCAGTCTTTGGTTACCTAAACATGAGGACGGAAAATTTCAAACTGTCCCATTTCCAATATCCAGCTGCATATATGTAGGCAGTTATATATCACTTAGATCTTCATCCATAGAAACATTTTGAAGTTTTGCCAGTTCCTTTTCCTCAGTTTCTAATTCTTTGCAGACATTGTTAACCACATCATTTATCACATACTTGGATTTAGAGTCCATCATTGTCAGGTGGTTGCTAGATTTGTCTTCTAGAACTACCAAGTAGTTTTCCTTTACTGGGGGATGAAGTACAGACACATGTCCGCTACCATATTCATGTGTTTCTTCCGTAATAGGATTTCTGGGCTTGTCTTCACTGTCAGAAGCATCAAGACCAGTTTCAGTTACAGTCTCTTGGCCAGAGTTTGTAAGTAGATTACAGTTCTGGAGTGTAGCATACTGACTGTTGGCCATCGACACTACCGGTACTGCATTTGTGACAGCAGTAGACAACTGTTGATCACAATTCAGAGGGGCAGTAGTTGACAGTGGCAAACTCACTGTGAGGCTGAAGCTCAAAGTACTTGACGTGTTCAGCAGATTTGACGAAGTCAAAGGCAGATTTTGAGGCAGCCCTGTGTTCACCAGCGTTGAGGTTTGAGTTTGTAGAGTATTTCCAGATTGGTTCCCAGGAGATGTGTTAATATTCATTTGATTGCTTCCACTCACTGACATCAACTGAGGAAAAACAAGACCCCCTTCCAATGCATCCTGCTTTACTGGTGCCACAGCCTGCCCTGAATTAGGTAACGTGCACATTACTGCATTCGGTGGGAGTGTAGCGGCCAAGAAGACCTTACCTTGCTGAAGACTGGCTGCTGTACCACTTAGGAATGTTCCTCCATCTGATGTGTTTGTTATCAAAATGTTTCCTATTAGTCAGAAAATAATACAACTTTTACTGAAGTGCAAATGTAATAATGTATTGTACATGTCATTCTACAATGGCTCAACAGAATTTAGTCAGCAAATATCAATAATTTATCTTCAAAAATTAATAGACTGTTAGCAAACTTATTTAAATTTCAAATATTGTCTGGTTCCTGGAAGGACAGAAGAATAAAAATCACATTTCTACAAAGCTGTTCCAGCACTTTTTTTGAAGCAAAAAATAATTTCATTCTCAGTGAACGGATGATACTCAGAAAGATACTTAGATTGTAAAGTAATTTTTTGTTTGTTAGTGCATGCAACAAGATATTAGTGTTAACAAGGTGTAGAGCTGGATGAACACAGCAGGTCAAGCAGCATCAGAGGAGCAGGAAAGCTGGTGTTTCAAGTCTGGGCCCTTCTTCAGAAAAAGTGAAATTAGTGATGATTCAGGAAAAAGATATTAGTGTGTCTTTTCAAAAAAACCAGAAAATAATTTTGTTACTGAGAATAGAAGAATTATCATGGTGAATAAACAAGCTCAAAGCTATCAATCTATAAATCTGTAGAAATTACACCAATATGAGAACAGCACTTTTAACTTATGTGTTTAGTCGACTGTTCTGGGATGCTGCCTGTGTGACATAGTAGCGTCATCACTGGTTCGCAAACAGTCTTACTTGTCAATGCTACTTTGCTAATTTAAGGATCAAACTGCCGTTGATCAGTATGTTAGCAGAAACAAAGTTGATGCCTGCATAAAAACAGGAAAAATCTACTTTCATCTCACATTGCTGTTGAACATATGTTCAATTGTACAGATAATACTCTAGAGAAGCAGGGGAGGAAAACAAAATAAATTTGTGTAGACATTGGGAGTAGCAGAAAGATAGAAGTGAAATCTGTAGGTATAAAATCTTAATTCAGTGCACACTTACTGTCTACAAAATCTTATTTTTTGTTAGGAATTTTCATGGAAAATTTAATATGTCCAAAACTATAATGCAAACTTGTACACAATTAAATTCTCATGCATGTTGGTCCTGCAGCACCTTAAATTTGCACCTCCCAGCTCCTCAGTTAACTCTGGTGTACCATCAAGAATCTATCCTTGGCCTGTGTTTTATCAAATCTGCACGCTGCCCCTCAGTGACATCATCTGAAAACACACTGGTTTCCACATGAACCCTAACATTACCAAGCTTTACATCACTACCACCACCCATTGCATCTCCACTGTCTCTACATAATCAGACTGCTTATCTGACACCCTGTGTTAGGTCATCAGAAATTTCCTCTAATTGTATGTTGGGAACACTAAGACCACTGTCTTTGGTAGATGCTCCAAACTTTGCCACAGATGTTATTCTATTTCCTGATTTGACGCCAAGTTTGCAAACACTTTGACTTCAAGAGGTCATTCAATCACACATTGTGTTGTCATCTAGACTGTCTACTTTACCTGCCACAGCATTGTTCTACTTAGCCCCAGTCTCAGCTCTTCTGCTGCTGAAAGCCTTATCAATGCCTGTGTTACTTTTAGACTTTACAATCCCAAAATACTCGTGGTTGACTTCCCACATCCCACCCACAGTAAAACTGAGGTCATCCAAAACTGTGATGTGTCCTTTCACCATTAATTTTTCATATTCACTCTTCTGTTCATTGAGCTACTCTAGTTCCCAGTTAGGAACATCTCAATGTTAAAGATCTCTTCATAGTTTTTAATTTTCTCCATGGTTTTGCCCGCTTCCATATCTGAGATGTTCTTCAGCCCTACAAGCTATTTATAGTTACATGAGACTGTGGCCTCTTGAACATCCCTGACCTTAATTCTCTACTGTTAGCTTCCATATCTTCAGCTCTGTAGGTCATAAACTCTGGGAGCCTGTCTCCACCTCACTTACCTCCATCAAGACTTTCATAAAAACCTAACTCTAAGCTTATCCTGACCACCCTAATATTTCTGGCTCAGTCTTTTTTTTAATAACGCATCTGTAAAGTGTATTGGAATGGCTTATTACCATAAACCTATGACTTAAAGAAATTGTTGTTGTTAAATTCAAGTTGTTTGTTGCTGATAGATCAATAATTATGAACGGAGGATGAACCGAACTTAATGAGAATTAACATAGAAGTAGCAGCCTTTGATGACAGGCTGGCTTTAAGAACATTGAAGTATCAAGTCAAGGATATGGAAAAGCACAGGTGAGAATTTTGGGAGCGGCAAAACGAAAGAAAAAGGGGAGATTATGGAGGCAGAAGGAGATGATCCTGTTGAAGGAGACAATTTGGGTCTGAAACTCAACTGACGGTTATGAATGGTGTTGTTCAGCCTGAGACGCTGACCAAGGAGTAAGATAGAATTGGAGGGGAGAATAGAGTTAATATGTGGTCACATAAAGTGGTGGTGCTGTTGGACGGCCAGCTGCCTGTCAGTCTACTGGCTGATGAACAGCCAATTAGTGCCTGATTGCCCTTCAACTTTACCTGTGGCAGGAGTGGCCCATACCTAGCAGGTAGCCTGGGAACTGTTACTTAGAGGGTTGGTGGGGGTGAGGAGGTGGACAGCACATACTCATCATCAGAGGCACCAACCAAACACAACTCCCTCAGCCAGCTCTCCAACACCGCCCATTCTGGTGTCTGAAACTCAGCTATCCCACCCCACTTACTGCAATCTGCTTGTCAGCCCTGCTGGTTTAGCAAATCCAGCCTCACTTGGTAACGTATATTTCAACAACTCAAAGCACCTGGAGGAGTCAAGGGAAGTAATGGCGGTGACAGAACTGAAGTTGTCAACATTTTTTGTTAATTCACTTGTGTGATGTAGGCATCACTGGCTGGTCAGCATTTACTGTCTGTCCCTAGTTGCCCTTGAGAAGGTGCTGACGAGCTGCCTTCTACAACCACTGTGGGTCAACCTACAGCACGTGGACTACAATGTTCTTAGGGAATGCATTCCAGGATTCTGACCCAGCAACAATGAGGAAACAGTGATATACTTTCAAGTCAGGATGGTGAACGGCTTGGAGGGAACTTACATGTAGTGTTCCCCTATATCTGTTGCCCTTGCCTTCTAGAAGGTAGCCGTCGTGATTTTTTGGAAGGAGCTGTCTAAGGATCTTTGGTGAATTTCTGCACTGCGTCTTGTAGATAGCACACATTATTGCTATTAAGCATGTGCGGTGGAAGGAGTGGATGTGGTGCTAGTCAAGCGGGCTGCTTTGTCCTAGACAGTTTCAAGCTTCTGGAGTGGAGAATATTCCATCACACTCCTGACTTGTGCCTTGTAGATGGCAGACAGAAGGGGTCAGGAGGTGAGTTACTCGCCTCAGTATTCCTAGCCTCTCACCTGCTCTTGTAGCCAGTGATTACAGGGAGAGTCCAGCTGTGTTTCTAGTCAATGGTAACCTCAGGATGTTGATGGTGGAGGATTCAGTGATGGCAACACCATTGAATGTCAAGGGGCGGTGGTTAGAGTCTCTTATTGGAGATGGTCATTGCCTGGCATTTGTATGGTGCAAATGTTACTTGCCACTTGTAAACCCAAGCCTGGATATTGTCCAGATCATGTTGCTACGAACATGGACTGCTTCAGTATCTGTACAGTTGTGAATGGTGCTGAACGTTGCGCAATCAATCGGCAAATATCCCCAGTTCTGACCTTTTGATGAAGCAGCTGAAGATGGTTGGGCCTAGGACACTATCCTGAGGAACTCCCGCAGAGATGTCCTGCTGCTGAGATGACTGACCGCCAACAACCACAACCATCTTCCTACCTGTCAGGTATAACTCCGACCAGCAGAGAGTTTGCCCCCTGATAAACATTGATTCCAGATTTGCTGGGGCTCCTTGATGCCACACTCGGTGGAATGCAGCCTTGGTGTCAAGGACTGTCACTCTCACCTCAGCTCTGGAATTCAGCTCTTTTGTCCATGTTTGAATCAAGGCTGTAATAAGGTCAGGAACTGAGTGGTCCTAGTGGAACCCAAACTTGGCATCACTGACCAGGTTATTGCTGAGCAAGTGTTGCTTGATAGTACTGTTGATAACATCTTCCATCACTTTGCCAGTGATTGAGAGTAGACTGATGGAGTGGTAATTGGTTGGGTTGGATTTGTCCTGCTTTTTGTGTACAGGACATACCTCAGCAGTTTTCCACACTGTTGGTTAGATACCAGTGTTGTAACTGAACTGGAACAGCTTGGCTAGGGGAGCATCAAATTCTGGAGTACAAGTCTTCAGTACTATTGCTGGAATGTTGTCAGTGCCTCTAATTGTTTCCTGATAGCATGCGGAGTGAATTGAATTGGCAGAAGATCGGTATCAGCAATGCTGAGGACCACTGAAGGAAGCCAAGATGGATCATCCACTCTGCACTTCAGACTAAAGTTTGCTTTGAATGCTTCAGCCATATCTTTAGCACTGATGAAAAAAATACAAAGAACTATAGATGCTGGAAATCAGAAACAAAAACAAAAACTGAAATTGCCAGAAAAACTCAGCATCTGTGGACAGAAAGCAGAGTTAATGTTTCACGTCCAGTTATTGCTAGACCTGCTGAGATTTTCCGGCAATTTCTGTTATTGTTTTTGTTTTGCGCTGATGTGTTGGGTTTTTTCATCATTGAGGATGGGGATATTCATGTAGTATCCTTCTCCTCCAGTGAGTTGCCTAATTGTTCACCACCATTCCTGACTGGGTGTGGCTGAACTGCGGAGCTTAGATCTGATCTGTCCATGTGGGATTGCTTAGCTGTGTCTACCACTTGCTACTTATGCTGTTCGACACACAAACAGTCCTGTTTGGTAGCTTCACCAGGTTGACACTTAATTTTCCTGGTATGTCTGGTGCTGCTCCCGGCACACCTTCCTACACTCTCCATTGAACCATGGTTGATCCTCTGGATTGATGGCAATGGTTGACTGGGAGGTATGCTAGACCATGAAGTTGCAGATTGTGCAGGGGTACAATTCTGCTGCTGTTGATGGTCTTGAGT